ATAAAGTAATTCTGCCGTATAACATGCATAGACAGCCCATGTGCCCAAAATTATGAGCGTTTTTTATTATTTCCTTTTCCATGCTTCTCGGAACTGCCAAAAGTTCTTGTCCATTGACTTGCTTGTATATAAGTTTTTTTTTTTATCGTATAATTATCGTACTGCTTTTCTTTTAAGATTTCTGCGATCGCTGCCAAGTGTTCATCCTTTTTTTGTACTCTTCAAATCTGAGCTTGTACCCCTGACGTTACAGTCATCACGGGAAAGCGACTTAAGCTATCCACGTGTTTCATATTGCTACCAGCGCGATGTTGTATGTTGAAAGAAAAATCTTGCAGATACATCAGCCATTGCACCACTTCACGCGGAACGTCTTTCTTAGCACTCGTCTGCTTGAAAGCTGCACAATCTGTCACCGGATCAAACTACATACCCATCAAATAGTGTCGTACACACAGAAAAAAGTCAGCTAAATAAATTTCTCACAACACATCATTTGGTAACTATAACCAAATAATGTAATTATAACTAAATCATGTGTTGAAGAAAACATATTTAGTTGACGTAACTAAACTCTTTTCTCAGTGTAGCTTTTTCGTAGCCACAGTTCTAACAGTTCTATCACTTTGTACCAAACTCAACAAAATTATAGTAGTACAATTGTTCTATTTTCATACTTTTTCGAATCAAAAGTTACATTCGGTACACTGAGCTTAATACAATTAGACGATAGCCAAATAAATATCCATATGGCCCAAATCGCCGAAAACGAAACCAAGGATAACAATTTTTTTTCAGGTTTCGCAAATTTTTGATTATATATGGGTCATACGAATCTCCTTCCCTCAAACATGAAAATTCTCTTAATCCTGGGGCACCTTTCAATTAATGAAAATTAAAAAAGCCCAACATGAAACTAAAGGGTAGTTTATGTTTAAGGACTACAATTTTTTGCATTATACTATCTTCGCTTGCCTTTTATTACTTTGAAGTTAATAAAAAAAGTATTAGACAAAAAAATCAGTAGTTGGCTTTCTACATATATGAAAATAAAGGCGCCAGTATTTTTTAATGTAATGTAATAGTCCAATATATCAAAAAATTTGTGGCGCCGATTTTTTTTTTAATTTTTTGAATTCTTATACTGGAAAGTATCACCCGAGCCAAAAATTTTCACCCTAAAAGTTTTTTTTTTTTAATAATTAGAACATGTGTTGTGGCCAATTCCGCTAGCGAAATTGTTACGCTAGCGGCCATCGGGTTGACGGGATAACGGAATTGGTTAGAAATTATTGGATTCGGTAATTAATTATAAAAAAATAGCTTAAAGAATCATATTTTCCATACCGAAATAAATTTTCGTAAAACTTTTTGATTATTTTGAAGAATTTAATTTTTTTAAATTTATCTACTAGAAATTATACCCCGAGCCAAAAATTTTGAGACCTAAAAGGTTTTTTTTTTATAATTAGAACATGTGTTGTGACCAATTCCGATGGCGGACATAGGTTTAACGGGATAACGGCATTGGTTAAAAATTATTGGATTCGGTAATTAGTTAGCATAAAATTAGCTAAAAATTATTTTATCGTATATTTCAGGGGTGGGCAAGGCCGAGGCCGAAAAGAGCCACATGTAAATTATAAATGCTAGAAACAGCCACAAAAAAAGCAAAAACAAAAATTTTACTTGCAAATAAAATTATTATTAGAAATGAAAAACATTAATTTTATTATTATTCTGAAGTATGTATGATTGATATTAAAGAAAATTCAAAAGATCCCTTTAACCAAATTTTCAAAATGTGGTTTTACGTCAGTTATAGCCGTTCGTAGCAGTACTGTTAAATGTTGGTAGTCAATAGGTGCGTTCGTTTAAAATCTCCAGTAAAAAATGTCCAACAGCGAAATTCCGGCGAAATGTCATTTGTTCTCTCACAAGATAAGAATATCCAAAACAGTATGCGATCAGAAAATTTGCAGAGATTTGCATGCTAGACGAACAGCTGATAGAGATTTTGTTTACATTCAAAAGTATAAAATTGACAACGTAAGAAAACAAATTCCGAAGTCTTATCCTGACACAGTTCAATAACTAAACGAATAATTAATTACTTCTTACAAATTTAATTAATCGCATTTTACTATTTTAACTTCCCAACCATCAAATTCAATTTAGGGATTTACGTACATTCCAACCAGCTGTTTTTGATCAGCTGTTTTCTTGTTGGCGAATTGCTATTGGCCAAAATTTTTCCAGCAGAAACTAGCAGCTTTCCCTCAAAATGAAATGTCAGTTTGCTCTCTCAATTTCCCCTACTTTGTAAATTTTTTGGAGTACGCGAATACAAAAAGCTTGTAGTTTTTATAACTTTCAATAATTATCAGGAACGCGAATGCAACTAATGTGAACGGTATTCTGACTTTACGAATTTCATTGTAGAGTACAAAGACTCACAGTTATACGTTGTACCAAAAATTGAAAATATACGTCACGCAGCTGTTTTCACCAGCGGATATTTCAAATCTGGTACTTGTTGCCGGAATGCAAGCAATCTTCTTTTAATTCCAAAAACTCCAACTCTTCTTCGCTTTTCTTAACAAGGAGTTTTTCGGACATTGCAAATTCATCCTCAATTATCTTACATAAAAAAGGATTTATGAAGTATGCAAACGTACATTTAAATAATTTCAAACCGGCAAATGTTTTATCAAAATCTACTTTTAAATCATGTGCAATAAAAAGACGTAGTTTAGCTTCAAAACTTAAAATAATTTGCGACCAATCAAAAACATTTTTATTCACCCCTTGTAGAGACAAATTCAAGTTTTGCAAATGTTCCACCATATCTACGGTGACCATAATTATGGCAGCCGATTACAGGACTAAAAATAATTTTGCAAATTTTTTCCACAAAAGCTAGAGGATTTTAAAAACCTTTTCAATGATTCTAGATTTATTAGCTTTGAAAAAAGCATTTTATTTGGCATATATTTTTCGATATTTTGTGAAAGCAGAACATAAATATTCAGTTATAACATCACATATTACTAGAATATTTTTCCATACCTTTGTACTCTGTGCTCGGGATTTTTACCCCGCAAAATTTTTTTCAAACATTCCTAGACAGGGAAACATGATGAAAATATGCGACTATTTTAGAGTGGTATTCAACGGATTATTTTCAGACTCGGATTTCGACCAAGCGCAATCTAGTAAATATCATCCGGAACGCGCTGAATGTAAAACGTACCCTTCCATCTTTGAGAACTTCTTGCGTTGAAAAAAATCTTTGAAAAGCTAAATACTAGTGAAATTTCTTTTACAAATTTTCAAAAATAATCATTAACGACTATATTCGATTCATACTCACAAATACCCAGTTTTTCTCCGCAAAATTAAAACTTCAGCAACCATCTACATATGTATGTGCTCCTTGATTCGAATCGCAAGCGTCCAGACTTCAAAATAAAAACTCGTTCATAGACATGTGATTTTGAACGCATAGACATGCCATTTTAACGCAAAGGCGCCAAAATATCGAAAACGGGACAAATACCGGACATTAGAAGAAATACAGAACATTTGGCGTACCGGATGACATAAATAAATTACCAGGACCAAGGATGAAAAAAGAGGACTGTTCCGTATAATACAGGACGAATGATCAACGTTATCATATCGGTAAAGAAGGGCCGTTTTCAAATGTAAGCATTAAAGTTGCCTTTACTAACATTTCCTCATTCCTCACTTTACCGGTAAAAATAAATTTGTTATTCCAAAATTACAGCAACGCGCAAGTGAAAGTCGACAACATTCGTCATAAAATTTCAAAGGTAGGCAATACAAAATAAACAAACAAAGAGCAAGAGCCACTGTTAGCGAAAACCCAAAACCTTGGTTGAAATATCTAATATATCTGACCCACGAACCAAAACCAAACCAAAATTTAAAGATGGTTACAAATTTTTATAGGCTACATCGGGTGAGCAACTTTTTATCGATTCGAGAAATTAATGCGCTGATGAGGAAACGAAAACTCGTATATCGAGGCGATAAAGTTGCCGGTAATCTAAAGGCTATATGAGAAAAGACAGAAAGCCAATTTTCATTCTCCAATTGCGGGTAATGTTCCGATCTCAATTTGCGTATGAGTATATAAAAAGAACAAAATAAGAAAACAATACAATGGAAAAGAATGTCCAGTAAAGAAATATGTATTTTAAAAAGTAAAAAGAGCCAAAATGTTCTAAGCAAAGAGAAAGTAAAAAGAGCCGCACTTTGCTAAACAAAGAGCCGCATTTGGCTCAAAGAGCCGCGATTGCCCACCGTTGGTATATTTCATACCGAAATAAATTTTCGTGAAAATTTTTGATTATTTTGAAGAATTTTATTATTTTGTGAACTATCTACTGGAAAGTATTCCTCCGAGCCAAAAATTTTGCGCCCTAAAAGGTTTTTTTTATATTTAAAACATGTGTTATGACCAATTTCGCTAGCGAAATTGTTACGCTAGCGGACATAGGGTTAACGAAATAACGGCATTGGTTAGAAATTTTTGTATTTGGTAACTAATTAGCAAAAAATAAGCTTAAAATTATCGGATTATTATTTTTAATTCCGCTGCATTTGCCCCGCTAGTGAAGCGGACCCTCAAAAATAGCCAACCCATAAAAGTATCGATGCCAAAGAACTCGATCCTCAAAAGTACCCGATATTTCCCAACATTAATATTTACGTTCAAAATGTGTATAACTTTTAACATTTCGTGTTTATATTTATGTGGATATTTAAAACATCTCGAAAAACAAACCCTGAGCACCTTATGCAGATATTTACACAGATTCTGGTGGAAAAATAAGAACCTTTCAGTAGTAGTTTTACATGCACTTTTTATAGTGTGCATATGTATGCATGTATTTCTATTTTCGAAAATACTATTTAAAACATGAATAAATATCTAATTTAAAAATACATTATATAGTAACAAAATCTCTTACCTGCACACCCGATCTTCGTGCCATCGACAAGCGATTGCTCTCCCCTCGCAGTAATGAAGTAGTGTAGTCTGCATCATGTTTGTTACAATCTTTTTTTAAATTATTTTTGGTGGTTGAAATACAATGTGAAGGGCAAACACAGAATAAGATTCGCAGCATGCAGCACACCAATCCTATTCCTGAAAAGTATAATATATTTCTCATTGAAAAATAGTATTGCCTTTGTTAGATCAGATTAGGGATGTTTCGAATGTCATATTTTTCACATTCGCGAATGAGAATACGAATTTTCTGAATTCGAATGTGCGAATGCGAATGCGAATGTTAGGAATAACATTAAAAAAAGCTATAATCAACTTAAGTCATCGTTTTTATTACTTTAAAATTTTGTAAATTATTAGAGCATTGAACGAGTGCTTAACCTATGCAGTGTTTTAATATAGTAGTCAAAGTTGAAAGGGGGTATATTATATTAAAAAAAAAGTAATTTTGCTGCCTTTTCTCCCATAAGGCGATTTCTTAGAGGCTCGTATATAAGGCCGGCTGCACTGAACAATTACTCAGTTGGAACGCTGGCAGGTGGAGCGCTCAAATATTTGCTGGCCAGATCTGTCGTATTTTAGTTTAGTTTTCCTCCAGTCGAGAGGATTTTCACCGAGATGAGCTCGTTTTTCTTTAAGATAGGCCCTCTATTAAGCTTTAAGTTCATATTTTTTAATGTCTCCAGATTCTACATACGAGCGTTCGCTTTCGCAGGAGGAATCTAGAATTATTTCTAAGTTGCTTATAAGATTCTCATTTTCATTGTTGGTGTTTCCGACAGGGTAGGAGTGTGATGTAATGTGGAACGATTTTCCGTCATCCCTTGTCAAATTTGGTTTGGAGACAAACCGGTTTCGGCGTTGTGCCATATTCAGTGTCATTTTTCGTTGCATTGTTGCAACTGTAAAACAGGATACTTCAGATGGGTTGTCCTTATCACAGGACTTTATTAATATTATAAATAGATGTAATATCTACAGCCAGCCCCTTGTGATGGTCACATCATATGAAAAATGTAAAAAAAACGTAATTTTCAGTGGTGCGGGCGCGTCGGGGAAAACGTATTTCGTTCATTTGCCGTCTGAACATAGTGTTGCTAAAATGAAAAGAATAAAATGGGGCTTCTGCATATAAAGACTGCAGCTAGAGGGTTTTTCCTTGATTAAAAATTTAAATATGGGATAACACTTGGTTGCGAAAATATGTTTGCAAATATTACCCCCACCCCCGCCCCTACGTTGAAAGCTTATTTCGAGAGGATTTTAAGCTCATAAAAACTTTCGTCCCTGGCGAGTCCAAAAAATGGCCAAAATTAATTTTCTTCGTAACTCTTGTATTTATTACTAAATTCCAATGTGTGATACATGGTGAAAAGCCAATTTCGATTCCTGTGTATCTTTCTCAGATCCTCTTACCCTAGAACGCCACATTAGCCTACAAAGTTCAAATAACTCAATTTATACCCAATTAAACACAAGTTTACTCTTTTTTAATTTAACCATTTTAGTTAGCTATTCATTTTTTGATAGGAAGCGTAAAAAGAAATAAATGCATCGCTAACTAAAATGTTTAACTTAATAAAGAGTAAAGTTGTATTTAATTGGGTATAAATGGAGTTATTTGAACTTAGTACGTTAATGAGGCATTCTAGGGTAAAAGGATCTGAGAAAGATATACAGTACTCAAAATCAACCTAACAAAAAAAACAAAAAACAACAAAAAACGACACCGTTATATTTAAATGAAACCGATTGCGAATATCCAACACTTCCCGCCACTTTTTTAAAGTATTTACAGTAAAAGAAACCACTTTATTGTCTCTTCTTTTATCATTACAAAAAAAGCATTCTATTGAAGATTCCATTTTTATAAATTAGCGAGAAAATCTGTAAAAAATTTTAAAATTCTGACAGATAGGGACTGATTAATCATGACTCATGTGACAATCTACCCCATTTACTGGCAATTGTCAGTCTCGCTCACTCTCACGGGAATGACATTTTTTACATTTTTCATATGATGTGACCATCAGAATGGGCTGGCTGTAGATATTTCATCTATTTATAGTATTAATAATGTCCTGTGATAAGGACAGCCCATCTGAAGTATGTTGAGTTATGGTTGCAACAATGCACTTTCAACATGGGCTGGCAATACTTAAAGACCATCAGATTGGGCTGGCTGTAGATATTTCATCTATTTATAATATTAATAAGGTCCTGTGAAAAGGACAGCCCATCTGAACTATGTTGAGCTATGGTTGCAACAATGCACTTTCAACATGGGCTGGCAATATTTAAAGAACATCAGATTGGGCTGGCTGTAGATATTTCATCTATTTATAATATTTATAATGTCCTGTGATATGGACAGCCCATCTGAAGTATGTTGACTTATAGTTGCAACAATGCACTTTCAACATGGGCTGGCAATACTTTAAGACCATCAGATTGGGCTGGCTGTAGATATTTCATCTGTTTATAATATTAATAATGTCCTGTGATAAGGACAGCCCATCTGAAGTATGTTGTTTTACAGTTGCAACAATGCAATTTCAACATGAACTGGCAGTACTTTAAGACCATCAGAATTGGCTGGCAACCTTGAATTCATTTTGTATACATTGTAAATAAAATTCTACCTAAATCTCAAGTCATCTGAAGTATGTTGAGTAATCGGTTTTTATTGACATCTTTAGTCGTTAAAAACGCATAATCAAGACCCCTGTTCAGCAGCCAGCCCTCCGGATCTCAATTTGTATATTAACAAGCTAAGCTCACAAAAAATTTCAATAGATCTGAAGTATGGTGCGTTTTTTTGGTCATGAGCTCTTGGTCTATAATGCTAATGCTATTATGCTAGACTTATCACCGTTTAACTTCCAGTTATCTATATTTGTTTTACGCCCTATTGTAAAATTATAACCGGAACACATATAGACAAATTTTAACAAACTTTTTGTTTGGTATTTATTTTATATTACTTGTTTTTAATAGTATATTCTGCAATATTTAAACAAAATTCAACAAACTTTCCTAAAACTTCAAGTTTTTAATCAAAATAATAAAAAATATGTATGCAGTTTTGTAGCCCATTAAATTTTAATACAATAAAGTGCAAGTTTAATGTTGTTGAAAAATCCATACGAAACAATTGTAGAACGTACTTTTTATATTTATTAACAACACCAATCTAGACGTAGTGAAATTAGCGGCCGTTATTATCGTTAACGACAACAGCTGATTTGGCGCTAACGAATGTTGTTAGGGAAACGTTTAGATACTGAATAGCTAAGTTGTTAAAACTGTCGTTTAGCTGACTTAATAAAAACAAGAGTTGTTAAAATCGCGTAATGAATCGCACCACTGCTTAGACAGACTTAGAGCAGTGGTGCACACGGGAGTCTGCGGGAGCTACTCGGCTTTCACACACAAGTCGTGTGTGCGCTGCTACCGAACTTATGCGCCGCTAGCAGCCGGTCAGTTTGCGTTTGTACTTCATGCTATAATACCATGTCCCCACTGAAAAGTTAACCATCTCAACCACATCTCTAACTATTGCTGTCCACACTATGGTTTGAAGTTTATAAAACAGTACAAATGTAAAGAACAGTGGTCGGACGTCCAAAACTCGATCCAGGAATAAATCGCTGCAAAAATCGGAGCAAAAACAAATTTTCCGTACTATATTGAATTTTTTGTTTCGTTTCTGACATTAATTGTTTGACTAAAATATTTTCTATTCATGCAAAAATTAAAACGGGAGGCCATGTAAGGATAATATGTTACATATTTAGGTAATTTTTCGCATTTTCTATAAAGTAGAACGTATCTAACACTTAATTTTTTAAAGAGCAATATGATCTAAACCTTCTCAACTTTATATAAATTTCATTCTACATATATTTTTTAACAACTTAAGTAAAGTTCTGTATCCGCCAATTTCTACAGCCATACATCAAAAATAAACGAAGTTACTTTATTGACGCATTGCTATGATAACAGTGATATTTGGCTAACTTTCACTGAAACTGGTGGTGAACACTCAAAAACGGTCCCAAGAGGGACATAACATGACTGAAAAAAACGGACTAGATTTGAAGTCAAGCGGAGTAGATTTCAAATTTTTTCAAAAACAGGAGTAAATCTAATCGGATCTTAGTTAATTCCAAACACTAGTAGGGATCGAATGTTTTACATTTTAACGCTAATGACCAACAGATGGCGGGAAAACACAGGGTTGTATCAAACTTTCGACGTGGTTTCGAGTTGGTTAGCTTTTAACCATCTCAGTGAAATGGTTACGTGCTGTCATTTTTATATGGCGAAACTACGCTAAATCAAGTGGCTTATCAGGATAACCAACTCACTAGCCATAACTACGTGGTTAGTTCCGGTGGGGACATGGTATAAGCATCACATGCGCGAGCTGTTTTGCTGAGTAACACATACATATACAAAAATATTGCGCTTGTGTTGGGAGCTCTGCCAACGCTGTGCACCGCTGACTTAAAGCCCTTTCAACAATATTAGAGTGGACTCTCTGCCTATATACACATTCGCATTCGCGAAACATTCGTATAATTTTATTCGAATGCGAATGTGTAAAACAATGTGAATCATTCGCATAACCAATGCGAATGCAAATATTCGCAACATCCCTGGATCAGATACACATATGTATGTATGTATATGCCATAATTTTTTGTATAGCACACTAAAATATCTACATACAGCCTTGGACATAAGCACTAGGCACCCCAATATACATATGATTTTTTCGTTTTTCAAAATTTAGGTATTAAAAAATTAATAAGAAAACATTAGTCAGTCCACACTTTGATGCAAAAGACGTAGATTAACCGTTATTAAAATTATAATCCTTTTATTCAGAGATTTGATAAACGTTTAGAGTATACAGTTAATAAAGTACAAGTATGTAGTTGCGGAAAATCCCGTTATTTTTAAGAATTTGTTTTGCTAACACTTTTTATGTATACTTTTTATCGAATCTATCTCCTCAAGAAATTAAAATACACTCGCTTCTAGTTTAAAGCCTCTTTTTTTGCTATACTCTCGCTATGTCTCAGTTTTTAGAGCCCACTTCGAATATATAACAATAGTCTCGGAGGTTTGAT